AGAATCTGGGTCATTATTAGCACATTTACGGTAGTTTCGATAATCCGGAAAATAATAATTGGATTACCGATTTGATGGTTTTACTGACCAGTTGTTAGTTAGATTTAAATAGTCATTCAATATAAACACCGGATAGAACACCGAATATCCTGAGAAACACACCGAATATCCCAAGAAACAGTATTTCCGGCAATCTCCAATACCGATGACACGGGTGTGACATGCATTGGTTGGAATTCGGTAAATAATTATAAATAAACCGGCGATACTAGATTTAGTTTTAAATACTGTTTACCATGATTATTATTTTTGATACACCTGGTGAAAGAGGCTTAGTTTTTAAAAATATTGTTGTCTTTATGGAGGGCTATTACATAGTCGTATGGAATTTTATTTTAAACCAATTTCAATTATGTGAATTAAATATGGAAAATTATTTTCCTTTCAGTCAGTGTTCAGTCTCAGTGTTTTAGTAGACTTGATTTTGGGTTTATGTTTTAAGTATGTACAATAAAGTTGAATATAACGGAAAGCAAAAACGTAAACAAGTAATGACTTTCTCATTTAAAAAAAAAAAAAAAGAAAGACCGCCCTCCCGCCCCAACAATTTTCAGCAATAGCCAAATTTTATTTTGCACCATCAATGAGTAAAAAAAAAAAAGAAACCGCCCTCCCTCCCTACAGTTTCAGCTGTCAGTTGCCCGAGAAACAAGACATTTATTTTGTGTGGCCTTAGTAATGATTATTCCCTAAGTATGTGTTACTTTCCTTTAGAGGTATTTAGTAACTGAATAGAGCAATAATCTGTAACACATAGCTATGGAATAACAATTAGTAATGAGTTATAAATTAGTAATGATTATTCCATAAGTATGTGTAACACTAATTGTTCAGTATAATCTTTCGGAGGTATTTAGTTACTGGCAAGAGCAATGAACTATTCATTATTGAGTAACAATTCCTAATTTATAATATATACTTATGGATTAACAATTAGTAATTTTGTCCATGTGTTATATGTATAAGTTATAGACTAATTGTTTAATACAGATGAATAACAATATAATATAATTTATCACCCAATAATACATTCTACAGTAGATATCACTTGTGTGATATATTTCATAATCTACTGCGATATCTCCTTACATGAATTTGATTGGTCAGTTGAAAAGGAACTACTTTTTTTATTTTCAAAGAACAGTTCATTTCTTATTAAAAGTACCTTTTTTTTAAAATATAAATGAACTATTGTTATTCAATTGACCTTGATGGAAACACTGGGTCAATATAAAGGACTTTGCAATGGTTGAATAGCTGTCAAAAAATGATGTATCACTATGCGGTAATATTCAGTAAAAGTGAAATCTACAGCTAAGAATTATATTTATCTATTTGTGCATGTAAGAAGGAATTGGTTGATAAATAAAATCTCCTACTCGTCTTTTTTGATATCAAAAAATATCAACACTCGTTGATAAAGTAAATAAAACTCGGCAGAGCCTCGTTTTTTGTTACTTTATCAACATGTGTTGATATTTTTTGATATCAAAAAAGACTGGTGAGAGACTATATAATATAATATAATATAATATAATATAATATGGATTATCAATTAGTAATTTTGTCCATGTGTTATAAATTAGTAATTTTTACTCCATAGGTATGTGTTATAGTGTAATACAGATGAATAACAATATAATATAATATATACATAATAATAACAACAACATCATAATAATAACAACTTATTAGAAAAATACAAAAACAATGAATAATCTACAAAAAATGCTTCCAGATTTACATTGAAAAATAAAGTCATGATATAATAAACAATTTTTCCATTTGTTTTTAATGCTAAAAATACTACAATCTACTCCAGTTAGTTTGCAAAACTTAAAGGGAAAAGCAAACCATTTTACTTTCTTAAAGTAGCTAAGTCTCTAACTCAATATCATCCAAAGTCTTTGACATTGAAAACACAAATCATTTGTCATTTAAATCAATATTAATGTGTTGAGACCCATTTGTGTCAATTTCTAGATCACAAATATTAGCGATTTAGCTGCTTTAACATGTATCTGCTCATTTTATACAATTAAACAATATATAAATGAAATTCATCAACATATAGTAGGTGTAACTAATCATGTATCTGCCCATTTCTTTAAAGTTGAAGACATTAAAAGATAGAAATTCTTAACTTAAGCCTGAGAATGTTTTGTGAAACCCGGACCAGCAATAGGGAGATTTAGCTCTTACATAATGCATCTTTAATATGTAAAAAATGTTTAAGAAACACTCATTCTGCTCCTGTGAGCATCATATAGTATCTTTGATCCTAATGAAGGTGAAGTTCTCCTTTAAATAAGGTTTTAAACACTTGTTCATAATGAAAAAAACATAGCACTTTAATTGAGGTATATATACATGGCAAATTAAAACTTATTTTATTCATGAATAGTTTAAACATGATGTACAACTTGTTCTGTCTTCAATTCAACAAATAACCACCCCAGCTATGATGTTATGAGGGAAAATGCCATTCACCGTTAACAAGCCAAGCAGCGCATGTGCTTTGATAGTCTTGGATGCGACGAATTTCTTAGGGTATTCCTCTACTGCCAAGTATTTATAAAATATGAAGAGTATGATAGCTGTTACATGACTTTGTTTATAAACAGTGACTGACAGTTACCCACTTGACATCACAGCCAATGTCATTTGTTAATGTGAGGTGAAATGTGTACTATATATATTTAATGAATAATATATAAGAATCTGCAATGGTTAGTCTTCTCATTTAAGTAGTTAAATCTTTATTTTTTTCTGATAGAAAGTCATTTAAAACAGAACACTGGTCAGTTACATAGCAAGTTTAAAATAAATCGATTTTGAAATTTTAAATTGAAAACTATCTGACACACACACAAAATATATACAGAATATATACATTAGAGAAATGGGGTTTTATGTCCACTCGACACAAAGTAGGTCATTTCGGGACTAACATATGGTTCAATTTTATTTCAATAATTCGCTTGTGCATGGGGTCTTTAGCAGTGGGAGGAAACCGGAGGACCCGGAGAAAACCCACGAGGTTAGACAGGCAACCCAACTCTTTGTCACGTACAAGCAGGGAATTGAAACCACGTCTATGACAGATCTTATGATTTCATGCCAACCACACTACCCCCAGCAGTAATGTAACAATTTATTTGGGGCTTTAGGTGGCCGAATAGTTTAAAGTGTGCACGTTAAATCAAAAGGTCATTGAGTCAAGTGGCATGGTTTATGATTCCCCACTTGTACATGACAAGGAGTGGCATCAACTGTCCAACCGTGCAGGATTTCTCCAGGTGCTACGGTTACCTCCCATTGCAAAAGACCCCTACACACAAGTGAATTATTGAAATAAAATTGAACCATATGTTAGTCCCAAAATGAACCAAACCCCATTTCTCTCTCTCAATTTTTTTGAGTGTGTAGGTGGACGGACTTTTGTTGTTGACTGTCATCTACTGATATTTAGTTAGCTAATCGGACAACCCTGAATCACACCAAACACAAATAAAAATAAATATTTCGTGGGTGAAGTGTTAAAGGGGTGTATCTAAGAATTTCTAAAGATTAAGAAATAGAACTTTTTGCATTTCAAAATTTCCACAAATCAAGATACAACATTTGGACACATGATACCCAGAACAGTTCTAATTGGCATAGAGATACACAGCTTAGACAGAAATGTGCATATTAATTGGGAGATTTTAAAAATGCAAAAAAGTATATTTGATTAATTTCCCCGAGATACACCCTTTTGACACTTCACCGACGAATTGTCCTTTAAAAGGCTATATGGTTTCTTCTTCTCTGGTGTGTATGGAAGATTTAGATAAAGAACTGGTCGTTCTTTCTATAATGGTTCAGAACAGTAGGATGTAAACCCCATTTCATTCCATTTATAATAGTTGAAAAAAAGATAATTTTAAAAAAAAATGAATATATTGAAAATTTCATTTAAATTACTTTATTCTGGGCAATGTTATGGCTTCTTTGAAAAGCAGTTATTTTATCGTTAAATTTCTAAATCTGGCCCGTGTCCAAATCCATTTAAATCTCGGCCATTCGATGAAAGTTGATCATAGGCTTCTCAAGTGAATAAATGTTTAATTGAAGAAACATTCTGTAAGAGCTAAATCTGCCTATTGCAGGTTTTTTTATCTTGGCTTGAAATGTTATATAATCTATTAGTCGTTATTTATTGATTTAATTTAAAAATGGCGTATCGCGGCTAGGTTTCGAATAACAAGTACACAACTGTTACGATAACAAACAATCTATGCCACATCTTGTCACAACTTCAAACAATGATAACTTTGCTCAGAATAAAGTAATTTGAATGAAATTTTCAATATATTCATTTTGCATTATCTATTTTCAATAAACCGCCAGTAATTCTTACATAATGAATCTTTAATTAAATATTAAATAATTAATATGCATACATTTTAGATTAGATTAAACATACATTATGCAAGAGTTAAATCTGTCTATTGCAGGTCTTTCTTTAGGCCTGAAATGTTTTCTAAATTATTAATTAGACATTAAATAACTTATCCAGGCCATAACCAACTCTCGATGGCATTGGATTTCTCCAATATTAAATAGATTAGAACAGTTTAGCCATATTTTGATTTAAGCTAAAAATGGAGGAGCGAGACTTAGCTTCGAACAACCAGTACGGTGGTTGAAATTATTGTACACCTCTTGTCAAACCTTCAAATGCTAATATCTTTGCTCGCAATAGAGTAATTTGAATGAAATTTTCAAATTATTCATTTTACATTATCTATTTTTAAACTATTATAGCAAGAATGGTCAGCTCTTTATCTAAATCTTACATAATGTATCTTTAACTATTATAGCAAGAACGGTCCGCTCTTTATCTTAATCTTAAATAATGTATCTTTAACATAACTATTATAGCAAGAATGACCAGCTCTTTATCTAAATCTTACATAATGTATCTTTAAGTCACGAACACACCTATCAGTATATTTTGTTTGATTTATATTTTGAAATATTTACATAATGTTACAATGAGTATTTTAAATGCATAAAATTGAGAAATAAATTATTATGAAAACTAGCACGTAATTAAGACTTGTGCTATGCGAACTAGGGTGCAGATGTCAGAGGTGTGCATTATTGACCGTATACAATAGACCCATCTGTTAAACTCCAAATCTGATTAAAATACAGATCTATATTTCCTTTCTTTTTTTTAAACTTTCAATGGCCTACACTACATGAAGATCTGACAAGTTGTACTGGGAGGCTGTGTCAGAGGTCGGACGAGCGGCTTTTCAACCTATGGCATCAGACATTTGATTAACCAATCAGTGTTGATGTTTCAAGTGGGTATTTGGAAATACAACTTTTGCTTTGTCTTTGCCGTGAATGTCTACCCACAATTCCGTGCACCAAAAACCAAGAACTTGCCAAAACAGACCGTTCATTGGCTAATCCCTCCCATCAACTAGAACGCTGATTATATAATAACTCTTCCAGATCCTCGTGTATTGAAGGTAAGTAAAACAAATATTTGAACTTTAGAAACGAAACGAAATAGGATCTCGGGCCAGTTTCACAAAATTTTAAATAAGATAAAATCCAAATTTTAGTAATTTGATTGGATAATATTTGACTGATTTGAGTGCTTAGCCAATCAAAATTGAAGTATCTACTAAAATTTGGATTTTATCTTTAGATAAGATTTAGAGAAACAGGGCCCTGTGTTTTAATCAGATTATGAAATCAAAATATTTGAAAATTTCCAGTGTTACACGTCAGTGCTTAACATAGTTTCTACAAAACATCTGAAGTTGGCCTTGTCTGAAGTGCATATCAGTCTGGTCCTGCACATAAGCATTTAGCGTCATTTGGTTTGTCTGTAATTTGTTATTCAGTTCTCCTTCAAAGTGAAAATATTATCATGAGTTAGTTATCTACAGATGCATAGATTCACAATCACAATGATATTAAAGGAGTTGTCCCAGGATTAAAGGCACAGACTTGTTAGTGTCGATCCCGGTGTTGGCCGAGAAAGCTCTTTATCCAAGGATTACTTGGAGCCTCAAAGGGAGCCCCAAGGTGGCTCAGTGGTTAAGTGACAATTGAGTGAAAATGTTAATTTAGGGCTAGAACGCATGTAACCAACTTCATGAGAAAATATTTCAACTAACCATGACAGCTGAAACATATTCGTTGTGTTTAATTACGTTCAAAGTAAACTCACACAATCTTAATTGTTGGGACTGACAGAACTGTGGCAGGATTGAATTCCGCGTCACAAGATTGCAATTCCGTCAAGCATCCCCAATATTTAGTAACAAAGGGGAATAACTCTAATAAATTTCAGAAATATATGTGGATTATTGTAGTCTTGATTGTGCTAACAAGACGACAGACAGACGGGTTAACGACAATATTCAACTACATTGAGCATCTAAACACTTTTGTCTTCTTTTTTTAAAATATATGCTTCGTCTTACGCTGGAACTGGGTCTGTTGTTGCACGACTTGTACCTATGACGTTTTCTTCTTCCTCGGAGTATGTATAAAGAGGGAGCTCACAGCAACAGAGACATTTAAAGGGATTAGGTAGTATGGCGTAGATTGGAGGTGGTAGTGGTATTAACGGACTGGTTCTATTCTTGTACACAATATATGACTCTTGTCTGAAAAAAAAAATAAATATAAAAAAAAATACAATTTAATTAACCCTTTAGAAATTAGATAGCCCCCAAACTAGAAAGCCTTAGACGGTCTCAAACCGCCAAGTGAAAGAGAGATGGGGTTTAAGTCCACTTGACACAAACTATGTCATTTCGGGACTAACATATGGTTCAATTTTATTTCAATCATTCGCTTGCGTGTAGTTGTCTTTAGCAGTGGGAGGAAACTGGAGGACCGGGTGAATACACACGAGGTTGAACGGGTGACCCTACTCCTTGTCACATACAACCGGGGAATCGAAACCATTCGGCCATCCAACCCCCGGGTCACAAACAGCAGATTGATTTAATACAGTACATCATATCCTATGGACCGTTGGCAGAGAATCGGTCGTATAATGGAAATATAACCATTGTGTTGCCAGGCAACAAAAATATATGCCCATTGTGAAAGAAGGCAAAAGACATAGTATATGGTGTAATGTAAAAATAAGTTTAAAGAATTTGCTGCCAGGTGCAGTAACTCCACATGAAATTGATGCAAAAGTCTCCTTTAATGAATGATACATACTGCAAAAAGTTTAAAGACAGGTTTTCTTGCGTACAGTAAACCTAGTTGGACAATTAAAGGGAGATAACTCTGCTCTCTCTTTAAAAGGACAATGTCATTAATGAACTGAAATGCAGTTTAAATGGTTTATATCCATGTCGCATTTTATAACATCCCTAATTACACAGTAGTGATAAATTGTCAGTTACATATTAAAATTGGTGTTGGCACGATATATCGTTGATTCGATGTATCGCGATTCACCTTCTAACGATTCGCCTATTGAACTGCAAAGCGTTAACTCTAACTTACTTTCTATATCTCTCATCAGCTTTTTTCTCTAATAAAGGTATTCCACTCAGGAATAACAATATGGCCATTGTAAATAAAGGACTTAATACAGCAGCCCATTGTCCGTTCACCAATATACTAGTTGATATTATAAATAATCCCAGCCATAACGTTATTTCACCAAAATAGTTGGGATGGCGAGAAAGTTTCCATAACCCTGCAAAATAAAAATAATCATAATAAGAAGGGGGCTTAATTTCCTGGAGGTACACAGGGGCTTGATGTGTTTAAAACAGATCAAGTTCCTGGATGTACACAGGTGCCTGATGTGTTTAACAATGCTGTTTAACCCTCTTTCACTCAGAACATGTAAATATTGACTACCCAGTTCCTTCAAGAAAATACCGGTACATCCTCAGGCAGACCGAAACAACTGTTCCTTAGTCAAACAAAAATGAAATGAAATGGGGATTAACGTCCTACTGTTCTGCTCCTATGCTGGGCTAATGAAGAAGGGCATATACCATACAGTGTGCTATGAGGGAAATTTTGCCCGGGCAGCGGCACTATCGCCTACTCTTATATCGAATTCCAACTGCCAAGGGATCTTTTACGTGCATTCCAATGTATACACGGGACCTGGGTTTTTCGTCTCATCCGAAGGACTAGACAGCTGTCCTTGTCAGGCCCTCCGTCCTGCATCCCTGGCAAGTGGGAACCAGGCCGGAAAATCTGGATGAACTTTCTCGGCCAATGCAGGGACCAAACTCCCGACCTCCAGGCTAGCGAGCTAGCGTCTTACCCACGTGATCCCCCTTAGTCAAACGCCTCAATCCACCCAAGATATGTGAATAGTTTTTCATTTACCAGCTCGTGTTGGCATGACACATGTGAAAAGCTTTTCATATTATAGAACCATTTTGCATGCGCCACAGCCATGCACATTAAGGATCGGTCTAGGGAGCTCTAGTAAGGGCAGGTTCGGGCGTTCAAAGTGCAAAAATGGGTTAATGTCTAATCAATAATGCACATGTCATAACCATAGAAAGACAAATTTATATCTCTTGTTGGATTTCAAATTCTTCTTTGAAATTTGAACTTTGAACCCTGTTAAAGTTACAATTTCATATTTTTAAGTTACATTTTTAAAAGGTATATAAATAAAGCCCTAAAATAGATGGTATCTATAAACAGTCCTACCTTGTTAAAGAATAATGCTATTAATCCTATAATTCCCTATTGCCAGTTGAGAAATTGGCAAAGATATCATTTTTAACTGGGGGGTTGGATGGCTGAATGGTTAGCGTGCGCGCGCTGTATCATAAGGTCTGTCATTGAGTCGACTTGCGTGGTTTCGAATCCCCGGTTGTACGTGGCAAGGAGTAGGTTTTTCTCCGGGTCCTCCGGTTTCCTCCCACTGCTAAAGACCCCTACGTGCAAGCAAATTATGTAAATAAAATTAAACCATGTTAGTCCCGAAATGACCTAGTTTGTGTCGAGTGGACGTTAAACCCCATTTCTCTCTCTCTCTCTCTCTCATTTTTAACTTCAAATTCAAATGTTTGAAGATAGCTGATAGCTATTCCATGGTGGGGAATAGGAAAACAAGGGAGGTAATTGTGTTATTATTTCCGGTATCAAGATTTTTAAGTGTGAGAAAGATAACCTATGATCATATAATAGTGAGTTTACAACCTATTGAGCAAAAGACATAGAAATAATTATGTTCTGACTTTCTTAGAAAATATGAAATTGTAACTTTCAAAAAAAAAAATGACATACCTACTGCACACCATTTTCCTTTGTTGTCTGGATTATTTCTAAAATTAAATTTTTGAATATCTGCCACGGTTTCTGATAACAGACCGATGATAAATAAGGCAATGCCAACTCCATCTTGCGGAGTAAAATTAGTATTTCTTAAAGCGCTGGCTGGAGCGTTGACAAAGATTACTGGCAAACTCACTGTGAACACCCACACCGCCTACATATAAAGATAAACAAAAAATTTTAAAGATGCATTATGTAAGATTTAGATAAAGAGCTAGCCATTCTCGCTAAAATTAAGACCTGCAATAGGCAGATTTAGCTCTTAAAAAAGATAAATCCAAAAATTTAAACATACATTATGCAAGAGCTAAATCTGCCTATTTCAGGTCTTTCTTTAGGCCTGAAATGTTATCTAAATAATTAATTAGACATTAATTAACTTATCCAGACTATAATCAACTCTCGATGTCATTGCTAGTCTGTGATATTTACTGGATTAGGATCTGATGTGCTGCTCAACTTTCATTCATGATTAAATCATGAAATGGATAATCAAGACTGTATTTTATCGCACCAACTTTAGTAATGAAAGGCGGCTGAAAATTCAATCGTTAAATTCTCGGTTCAGAGTGGATCAATTTGACTGAAATTTTCAGCAAATTCAGTTTACATTATCTAGTTTTTAACTCCCATAATGTATCTTTAAAGATGCATTATGTAACATTTAGATAAAGAGCTAGCCATTCTCGCTATAATTACGACCAGCAATAGGCAGATTTAGCTCTTACATAATGCATCTTTAAGCACATATAAGCTCAATTTACACTCAATACTGCCAATAAAAAACATTATCCAAATAATAAAACATCATATTACTTTCAACAATAAAATTGAGCGCATAAAAGTACAATTTACGCAATGTTCAATGCGTCAGAGTGATTTTCATCTTGGGGAGTAATATTTGTGTTTTGTTAAGCACTGGTCGTAGCGGCAACAGGGGATACCAAGAATGTGAACATTATTAGATTTGGCCTACTAAGAGACGATTCGTTGTTATTAATACACTAAATGAAAGACCCAGAAGCCTGCAACAGGGGATAGTGAGTGATAAGGTGAACATTATTAGATTTGACCTACAACTTATTTATATTTAAAAAACACAACACAGTTTATATGGAAATACAATCACTGGTTTATAGGCATAGCACGACATTTCGACAAGTATTCGACACAACACAGTTTATATGGAAATACAATCACTGGTTTATAGGCATAGCACGATGTTTCGACACCATTTGTGCTTGATAACGATAAGAGAATACTTGTCGAAACGTCGTGCTATGCCTATAAACCAGTGATTGTATTTCCATATAAACTGTGTTGTGTTTTTTAATGTGTTCAATCGCTAATTGCCACTCAAGGATTATATTCAGATTTTATTTATATTTCTTATTTCCCCTTGATGACAATCTGTTTCAAATACAGATCTATATTTTTTTTTATTTTTTTTTTTATACTTTTGATGGCCTACACTACATGAAGATCTGACAAGTTATAGTGGGAGTTCATGTCAGAGGTCAAACGAGTGGCTTTTGACCCTATGACATCAGACATTGATTAATCAATCAGCGTTGACATTTCTAGTGGTTTACCCACAGTTCTGGTAATATAACAACTCTTCCAGAACCAAGTGTAGTAAAGACAATTAAAACGAAATTTTAAACTATATAAAACGAACGAAACAGGATTTGTGTTTTAATCAGAGTGCCTTGATGAGACACCTGAATTAACATCAAAGTCAATGGGAGAATATTGTTGGTGGTCTGCATCCTATGTATGGGTTATTTATTTCTCATTTATCTCCCCTTGATAAGAGAGGATTAATACACTACCTGAAAAACCCAGAAGCCTGCAAATGCTAAACAATTATCTCTTTTATCATCAAATCTTTTATCTTCTCCTATTTTAATGATCCTATAGAGTAGATAGCCTGATAGACGTAAACCCCATACAACCACAAACACTGTTACATATATCTGCCGAGTACCATATGTCTAAAATAAACAAACACATAAATCATATACAATAAAAATTTAATGGAGTTTACAGAGAGAGAGAGAGTTGGGGTGTAATGTCCACTTGGACAAGCAGCCCTACACCTTGTCAGGTACAACTGGAGAAAGGAAACCATGTCAGTTGACTCAATGACAGACCAATGACGCCCATCCACTGGACATAAACTATTTCATTTCAGGACTAACATTGTGCATAGGGGGTTTTAGGGTGAGAGAAAGAGAGAGAGAGAGATAGGAGAGAGAGAGAGAGAGATTTAACCTCCACTGGACCCAAACTATGTCATTTTGGGACTAACATATGGAAGAACAAACCCACAAGGTTGGACAGGCGACCCTACTCCTTGTCATGTACAACCAGGGAATCGAAACCACCCCAGCTGACTCAATGACAGACCGTATGATACAGCGCGCACATGCTAACCATTCGGCCACCTAATCTCATAGATGTTGAAATTAATGTATTTGAAAGTTCCCCTGTAATTACTTCATTCTCGGCGAGAGAGATAGAAATGGGGTGTAATATCCGATCGACACAAACCGGGTCATTTCATTAACATTGTGCATAGGGGTTTTTGCAATTCGAGGAAAGAGGAGGACCCGGAGAAAACCCACGAGGTTTGACAGGTAGTTGTACTCCTTGAGTCCTTGTCATATACAAGCGGGAATCAAAACCTTGCCACTTGACTCAATGGCAGGTCGTAATCTGTCATGTTTTTGCGAACCGACGAATCTTATATATTCTAAGTATAGACAATTATGCCTTTAAAATTTGCGTTTTGTTGTTATCTCTGTTTATTATCTCTGTTGTTATTCGTCGGTTTGCTAGAAAGCAGTAAAGCGCATACTGAACTTAAATTAATTCAAAATACTAATCGTAATACATACCTGCGGCAAAAAGAATGTTAAAACTGCTAAAACAACAAAATTAGTTCCTCCAGCGAAATCTGTAACTTTATCAAATTTACACGTACATGCTATTAGAAAGAAGGAAAATTGCATAGCAACCGTAACTATGGCACATATTGCCAGATGATTTTCATCTAAATACCATGTCATTGTGGTGATATTTCTTCACAAAATCTGGAAGATAAAATATAAAATAAAAATCAAAACACTTTAAAATCTTTTTTTTTAATATGCCTGCCTTCATCTATCAACAGTCCACAGTGGCTATAGTAAAGATACATTATGGGAGATCAGATACAGAGCTAGCAGCTCTCACTATAATAGTTAATAACTAGATAATATAAAGGCAATTTTCTAAAAATTTCAGTGAAATTGATCCACTATGAATCGATAATTAAGCGATTGAAATTTCGGCCTAGCCTCGATCATCATTATTAAAGTCTGTGTGATAAATGGAAGTCGAGCAGCAAATGGGATCATAATCCAGTAAATATCGCAGGCTAGCGATGCCATCTAGAGTTGATTATGGTCTGGATAAGTTAATTAATGTCTAATTAATAATTTAGATAACATTTCAGGCCTAAAGAAAGACCTGCAATAGACAGATTTAGCTCTTGAATAATGTATGTTTAAGTGAGTAAGACAATGGCTTGATAGCCTGGAGGTCACGGGTTTGATCCATACATTGCCGAGAAAGTTCATCTGGATTTTCTGGTGTGGTCTCCCTTTGTCAGTGGTGCTGGACGGAGGGCCTGACAAGACCTGTCTAGTCCTTCGGATGGGAGGAAAAACCGGGGGTCCTCATACACATTGTCTTGTGTCAGTTAGCCCAGTAGGAGCAGAACACTAGGTACAATTTTATGGATACACAATTACTGAGTTTAATACTAAGCGACGTTTCGACAAGGATACTCTCATCTTTATCAAGCAAATGATACAGGTATGTGAATAGTACAGGTATGTGAATAGTAGGCAAATAATATACAGAATAACCAACAAAAATTACAATCAAATGCAATTAAAACTTAACACCTTTGATTAAGGGGCCATTTACAACTAAACCTACACAACGGAAACTCTTGTAGGGATTTAAAAAAAGGGGGGGGGGGTATTAATATATTAACACCATTAAACTCAGTAATTGTGTATCTATAAAATTGTACCTTGTGTTACTAAATGCCAATCAAAGAAGATATTTTTTTAATGTTACATGCAGAAGCCTCCAAGGTTAAATTCCCCTACTATTATAATATAATAAGCCATGTGAGTTATTATTGTTATAGTGAATTACAGGTTAGATACGATTATTTTTAATGTATCAATATATTAACAATAGACATGAGATAGATCAATAACCTGTCATTGATACAGTATTAACTCAATAAAGGTCAGAGTATACAAAACAAACAGTGGTAATATATTATATAGTAATGGGGTTTAACATACATCCGACACAAAATAGGTCATTTCAGGACACAGTATACATGTACAGTAGTAATATATACTGAGAGAGAGAGAGAGAGAGAGAGAGAGAGAGAGAGTAATGGGGTTTAACATGTAAACTGGACACAAACTAGGATTAGGGACACAGTATTAACTGATTAATATATACAGTGACAGTATACAGAGAGAGAGGGGGGGGGTAACGTCCACTCGACACAAACTAGGTCATTTCGGAACTATCATGTGGTTCAGTTTTATTTTATGATACAACATATACTTTTAACTAGTTTTATTACCATGTGCGCCTCCCAACTAGTCTAAAGCCCGTCGGGATTGAATAGTACGATGTTAAACCCATTTCATTTCGGAACTAACATGTGGTTCAGTTTTATTTTATGATACAACATATACTTTTAACTAGTTTTATTACCATGTGTGCCGCCCAACTAGTCTAAAGCCCGTTGGGATTGACTAGTACGATGTTAAACCCATTTCATTTCCAACTGTATACACAGTCTATGTACAGGTTCATTATTAAAGCAATCTACAAACGTCTTACCTGATATCTTGACCCAAATGGACAATCATTAGTAGTATCTACCTGTTACTACAATATGTGTCCAACTATATAAGGGAGAGAGAGAGAGAAATGGGGTTTAACGTCCACTCGACACAAACTAGGTCATTTCGGGACTAACATATGGTTTACTTTTATTTACATAATTCGCTTGCGCGTAGGGGTCTTTAGCAGTGGGAGGAAACCGGAGGACCCGGAGAAAACCCACGAGGTTGGACAGGCGACCCTACTCCTTGCCACGTACAACCGGGGATTCGAAACCACGCCAGTCAACTCAATGACAGACTTTATGATACAGCGCGCGCACGCTAACCATTCAGCCATCCAACCCCCCAACTATATAAGGACAGAGATATCGTGATCTGAGTGGACTTAGTATCCATTCTACTACGATATAAAGACAGAGATATCTTGACCTAAGTGGACTAACAGCACTTAATATCCATTCTACTATGATAAGTGTCCAGCTATATAAAGATATAAATGAAATGAAATGGGGTTTAACGTCCTACTGTTCTGCTCCGAACTGGGCTAATGAAGACGGGCATACGCCATACAGTGTGCTATGAGGGAAATCTTGCCCGTTTAGCGGCACTACGGCCTACTCTTATATCGAATTCCAACTGTCAATGGATCTTTTACGCGCACGCCAATGTGTACACAAGACCTCAATTTTTCTTCTTGGCCAATGCAGGGATCCAACACCCGACCTCCAGACTAGCAAGCCAGTGCCTTACCCACTTAACCATCGTGATCCCCCTGTATACACAGTCTATGTAAGGTTCATTATTAAAGCAATCTACAAAAGTCTTACCCTTTATATATAAACTAAATGATATCTTGACCCAAATGGACAATCAGGTAGTATCTACCTGTTACTACGATGTGTGTCCAACTATATAAAGACAGAGATATCGTGACCTGAGTGGACTTAGTAACCATTCTACTACATATGTGTCCAGCTATATAAAGACAGAGATATCTTGACAACACTTAATATCCACCGATAACTTGTTTTACTATGCACTATAACACATACTTTTGAAACACCGCTACTAATTTAATTGGGTGACGTTTCGTAGAGTATTCTCTCAATGTAATCAGAATAATATGTATTGTTAAAGATGGGTTCCCGTGTACAAACTGGGTGATTTAATGGTATATACAAAATGTATGGATAAAAAACATATTCAAACTAATTAATTTGTCATAATTATGCTTCAAATCCTTCTCAAACATTGTAATTGCGAAGGAATGCCCATCGTTTACGTCACGTCTTGGAAATCAGAGGAGAATTCATTGCATACATAAGACGATGTTGTCTTTAATCGCTTACTATTTATTACAAATATCGAATCCTAATTAAATTCTCAGATTATCCACTACCTGCGTCTTTTTCCGTCATTTTTATCTCAGAAAGTGTTGTACGTCAACTCTTCATAAAGTTTACCAACTTGTACATCAAGTGCTCAATGTTCGCGTGTGACCTTTGACATCACGCGTGCAGAAATTCTTAATCGTCGGGCTGTTGATTAGGGGAACCCTTACATTTTTGTCCTGTATACGCTCCATGAGTGTTTTTCGGGGAATCCAGTATTTTTCTAGTAAGATTTGATATCTCTACTTTCCATATATACCAAAATTGCCATACTTTTATTAGAAATAACCACCTGATAAATACTTTTCTGGGAACCCATATTTAAGAGAATACTCTTTGAAAAGTCACCCAAATAAATATGTAGCTGTTTTCAATAATTATGTATTATACGATAAGGTCTATGAAGTTATACATGTAGTTTACTGCTCTATCTGGTTTCGCATACCCTTTCCATACTATGAACATCAGATAATCATTTCGCTAACCACACTACATTTTCTACTAGTTTCTGTACTTTAGCTAAATTATAATATATCCAATATAACTTTTTGATTAATTAAATGAGAGTAAACACTTATACCTTGGAACCAGTATATATATTATTTATGATTACAATCTTATACAATCTATTTATATTCCTCAGGAGATGGATTTATATAAGTCCCGGCTTATTTTCAGATCCCACAATCATATAGTGTACTTTTATGTTATGTAAATATTTATTGAATAAATAGTGTCAGAAAAATAAAATGTCTTTATAAAATTAGATAGTATGTTGTGTGTCCAACCGTTAAGTGCATACAGGTTCAATATTAAAGGGACAATAACACTCTTGCTGGCTTGACAGCTCCAGAAAATAAAAAATAGCCTTATTCTAAGTACTAGATGTGTTAGTGTCCTACCTGTTGTGTAAATTATCCATTAAATCCTATTTTACTTGTCCAAAGGGTTCAAAAATATTTTTAAATCCAAGTCACATTTGAAAAGCTTTACGTCAGGCTTTTCAAATCATTTAGTTGAATTTTTCCAATTTTTTAAATTAGGTGTGTTAAGATGAAATTTGTATCATTAATTAATTGGAATACTGTAAAATAGTACAATTTGTTGACCAGAATAAAGATTGGGACATATTATTCAGTTACAACAAGAGTGGTATTGAGCCTTTAAAGCAATGACAATCTACAAATGCTTTACCTTAGACTATATCTTGATACAAGTAGACAAACAGTAGTAGAACCTATAGGTTTACTATGATTTCAACAATGTCTTTCAAAATGTCCTATATTAAAGCAATACAAACAATTTACCTTTTATGAGTTTTATGAATAAATGGTAAATATTGAATCGTGATACGAATCTTATGGCAGCACGTGAATTGCAATATCGTATCCTAACTGTAGTGGCAATACCCAGCACTAATACAGGTTCAACATTAAAGCAATGACAATCTACAAATGCTTTACCTTAGATGGTATCTTGATCCAAATATATCTATAACTAGTTTTACTATGATTTCAACAATGTCTGTCCAAATGTCCAATATTAAAGCAATACAAACAATTTACCTTTTATGAGTTTTATGATTACTATGTTGACCAGAGTGGACAAGTTATCTCTACCGGTTACTATAGATTTACTATGATGTGTATCCAACTGTAAAGTCAATGTACAGGTTTATTATAAAAGCTCTGTGGGTTTTATATACATGTATATACACTGGCATATATCTTGACCTGGTTTAACGTTATACAAGTTAGAGCACATGACTAACAGTAACAACTTAAATAACAGGTTATA